TAAATTTTGTTGGACAGAAGCGATTAAAGTTGCCTTCTAGAAGGATCTCAAATCACCGATCGGTAGACTACATGAGCTATAATCCTATAAATATTCCCTTTGAATGAAATATTGATTTTAGGGGAGAAAGCTGTGAAACTCAGAAAATAAACAAATAAATTAATTAAAAATTTAAAAAGAACTTACCGGTAATATATTCTTTATGAAGGAACTTTATGTGCTATAATTTTTCAAATTTATCAGAGTACCTCAATTGAAAACACTGATATTACATAAAAATAAACTACAGAAAGTTAAAACCTCTCTTCCTTCAGGCATTTGTTGGATAGTGATGCTGCAGGTTAAAGTGCATGTTAATTGACAGTTGGCTGGATGACTTTTGTGTAAAGGCAAAACTGGAGGTTAAAACACAAGTTTCATGCCATGAATGTATTTAGTTAGCCTAGTTAAAACTAGACCCTTGTCCTTCACTTTGCTTTGTACGAGGGTCTGGACTCGCGGCTGTAGAGAAGTAATTCTTGCTGGAGGCTTGGCCTCTGGTGAAGTTTAAAATGATTGGATTGGTTGGCCGCGAAGTATTTCGCTGTGAAGGAGGCTAAGCTAAGAAGGTAACCAGAAATCGCGTGCACTGTAAACAACCCTACTGAGAGGAGAGAAGTACTGAGCCGAATGAGACGTCTGTAAATAAGAGCTGCTGCTTTGTCAGACAAATTTAATTTAATTTGGAAGCCTTATCAACACGGACTGGCTTTATTCACTTCCTCCACTGCCACTAGCTAGTCACTGTGCAGAAAATCGACGTAGTTCAAAACTCCGCCTTCTGTTTGCTGTTTGGCCCAGGTAAAATAAACTACAAGCAGACACTGCACAGAAAATCAACGATCTGTTCTCTGATTGGCCCGGATGAAAATTCCTGACAGGAGATATCCTCACCAATGCGTGGCAGCGGCTCATCAGACTGGAAAAATAGTCCTGAAAGCGAGCTGTGAGCCTCCACTCTGAATTATCTGG